CAATGCTCCGTAGTTCACGGTCTCTGTCGCACAGGACGAGTAATAGCTCCCTGCCAGTTACTTGGTACGTGAAGACCAATTCATGTAGCTCAAGTGATATCGTACGTAGAGTTGGTCATAGTCGCGAGGAGATTAGTGAGCTGAGCGATAACGCGCACAGCTAGGGCCAGCTGAAGCTCTGTCGTCCCTCAGCCTTCCGTCCGCCTTCCGTCCACGTCGATGATCCTTCGCTGGTTCTTCTCGAGATTCGATAAGCCCGCGAACACCATATTTGCGGCATAGGACATAGCAAAATAAAACAACAGAATCAGAAACAGAAAATTCTTAACAGTGTTGGCCCTTGAAGTCGTGGAATCTTGCCTGGATTATTTCCTACATTCGCGTTTTTCCGCGTACTACTAGAGTTTCTGCCGAGGACCCGATGGGGTAAAATTTCCATGTCAAAATAAATATACTTCATATTTGTTGAAAAAAAAATATTTTTCAACCATTGTATTTTGGAAATTAAAACTGGGGTGGTGGGTGATAAACGAAATTGTGATTTGGATATATTAATATTAGAATAATATTTTTCGGGCGATATTTATTTTGCTGTGTTCATTTAATGGTACGCGTTTTGATTAAGTTGTGTTGTTTTAATGGTTGCTATGAAAACAGTTTGGTGTGTTGATGGATATTTATACTTTTTAATAAATACCTCTATATTAACAATTAATCATTGCTCTAGAAATAGCGATTACACATAGTTTTCATCTAGTAAACTTAGAATCCCCCAAAAAAACGCGCGTAAAAAACTACGTCAAGAACAGGAGTGCTGTGAATTCCTCTAACAAAAAGTATTGAAATCATATTATTAAGGCCAAGTACATAAGTTACTACATGTTTGCCTATTATATGATCTAGCACTGGCCCATCATTTTAATTGTATTTTCAAAATTTTCTATAAGGTTTTCGCTACTCTTATACACTACTACTGCTTCCCGTATTTAATTACGATTAATTAGTCATTTAATAATTATTAAAACTTTAGGTGATTCTTTATCGAGTACTACTCTACGTACTCTACTACGAGTACGAAAATGCTCGATACAATCGCAATGTTTTGTGCAAAGAAAGTCATGTTCCATACAACATCATTTAAAATATTGGAAAACTTCAAAATTTAAAAATTGTTTCTTTTATTCCTCGGTGCCAGTTTTAAATGATCTGTCGCCCACTAATTTATTCGAACATTATAAGCTACTTATATTAGATGTATCCTTTCTTTGCACATCCAGGATATCAGGGCAAATGATAGATAATGCTTTCCGAGCCCTTAACGAATTCGTATCTAGGTTCGAAAATCTGTAAATCGAACTAAAACATGTGTTGTGTAACTTGCACCAGCTTTTACATCTTAATGATATCGTTAGGGATTTGGGACCTTTGTGGGTTAAATCTTGTTTTCCCTTTGAAGATTTAAATGGACAACTAAAATCATTAGTTCACTGAAGTAATTCTGCACAATTACAAATATATTCGACAGCATATCTATTTATCAATATATTTACATTTAATGTTCAAAAACTGATGTAAGGAACTTAATATCATATGTTTTGTAAAAGACTTTTTACTACAAATAAGCAAATAAAGCTACAAAATATAAATCACTCATTGTTCGTAGTTGGTACTATCTGTAAGCCGGATTTAATTGCAGCAAATAATCGGGAAATATTTTTTTCAAATTTTGCTGTAGAGGGAACACTACAGAATATTTAAAAAGCTACTTAAAAAAATTTGTTATATACATCAAAGCTGTATCGCCGAGCAAACATACTGAATTCTACATGTGCAAAATATTTACATAATGGCGAATTTGTTTTCGGTATCGTTAAATTTTTTGTTGAAATTAATCATTGCAATTGTGAAGGTGCATCACAATGTCATTGCCAAACTGAATATTATTCTGTTGTAAGAAAATGTAATATTGAAAATTCATGTATGTGTACTGTATCATTGAGAGTTCGATTATCATTCATGCATGAATGTTCATTAACTGACGAAGTGCAAATAGTAGTGGTACAGGATATAAAATTTGTGTGCTGAACCGATAAACTTGACTAAAAAGGAAGGTCACCTTACTGTACCCCCGCAACCTGGGTTGAAAAAATGATATTTTGTAGTTTACATCAAAGTATAAATCCTCACATAAAATAGGGTGCCCACTTGCATATTTAAGGGGTGAAATTAATTCCTGAAAATCGGTAGGTTTTTCTTTTTTCGCTGATATCTTCGAAACTAAAATAGATACGACAAAAGTTTAAATAGGAAAGTTATTCATTTTTCAGTGCTCTGCGATAATATGTAGTTGAAAATTATATAGAAATTGTTTATTTATTTTATTTTCTTAAAAAACGTGTTATTTTATACATTTTCCTCTAATTTGTCATAATAAACTTAATTGTTTCGACCCAAAATTCAATTATATCAATCTACATTCGTTTTTTCCGTCTCAAGAACTCATTAAACCGGAGAGTTATTTTTTCCAAACGCAAAACAGTGGCTAACCGAAATCAATTTTCCGAATATTGGCGACAACAGTGCACTCTTAATCGACTCCTGGAGTGGACACTGTATAAAAATGAAACTTCTATTTCATCGCTTTCCTAATGAAAAATGGTGGGGAAGCTTCGGGTGCACTTGCGAAATCTCGAGATCTCCGTCACGGGGTCATCTCCGAGGACAATAATTTTGCGAGAATCTGCAGTATCATTAAAGATGATATCATGCAGAAACTGGATCAGATTGGCCAGCGCGTTCGGAAGTTATGGCCATTTAAGTGTTTTCACTTCAAGGGGGTGTAACTCCACCTAGAGTGATCCTACAGGGGTTCAATGGGGATGGATTTTTTTTAATGCCGAAGGATGCTCTCACACGTGCCCTAATTAGAAATATAAATTTCCTTTCGGAACTACTAGATCTCGAATTTTTCAAAAAGTTCCAAAATGCACTTTTTGTGTACTGTATCATTGAGAGTTCGATTATCATTCATGCATGAATGTTCATTAACTGACGAAGTGCAAATAGTAGTGGTACAGGATATAAAATTTGTGTGCTGAACCGATAAACTTGACTAAAAAGGAAGGTCACCTTACTGTACCCCCGCAACCTGGGTTGAAAAAATGATATTTTGTAGTTTACATCAAAGTATAAATCCTCACATAAAATAGGGTGCCCACTTGCATATTTAAGGGGTGAAATTAATTCCTGAAAATCGGTAGGTTTTTCTTTTTTCGCTGATATCTTCGAAACTAAAATAGATACGACAAAAGTTTAAATAGGAAAGTTATTCATTTTTCAGTGCTCTGCGATAATATGTAGTTGAAAATTATATAGAAATTGTTTATTTATTTTATTTTCTTAAAAAACGTGTTATTTTATACATTTTCCTCTAATTTGTCATAATAAACTTAATTGTTTCGACCCAAAATTCAATTATATCAATCTACATTCGTTTTTTCCGTCTCAAGAACTCATTAAACCGGAGAGTTATTTTTTCCAAACGCAAAACAGTGGCTAACCGAAATCAATTTTCCGAATATTGGCGACAACAGTGCACTCTTAATCGACTCCTGGAGTGGACACTGTATAAAAATGAAACTTCTATTTCATCGCTTTCCTAATGAAAAATGGTGGGGAAGCTTCGGGTGCACTTGCGAAATCTCGAGATCTCCGTCACGGGGTCATCTCCGAGGACAATAATTTTGCGAGAATCTGCAGTATCATTAAAGATGATATCATGCAGAAACTGGATCAGATTGGCCAGCGCGTTCGGAAGTTATGGCCATTTAAGTGTTTTCACTTCAAGGGGGTGTAACTCCACCTAGAGTGATCCTACAGGGGTTCAATGGGGATGGATTTTTTTTAATGCCGAAGGATGCTCTCACACGTGCCCTAATTAGAAATATAAATTTCCTTTCGGAACTACTAGATCTCGAATTTTTCAAAAAGTTCCAAAATGCACTTTTTTACTCCAACCCCTGCCATTCGGCCATTTTGTATCCGATCGGGACAAAACCTTTACTATTCGAACGGGAAGGAAATTTGCTAAAAAATATGTTTTTGGTTTTTCGAAATCTGTCATACTTTCACAGATATGTAAAAAAAATTCAAGTATTGCACTTCAATTGGACGTTACTGTATAAATATTTTTAAAAAATGTGTATGCGTTTATTCATATAGATAAGTAAATCATTACTTCATTTTTAAAGTCACGATGACTTTTGTCGTAGAGAAATTTGATTTCTCTAACGATATTGATATTCGTCTATAGAGTTGGTAATGACAGGTGACAGGTAATGACATTTCATGCATGGAAATATTGGCAGGGCGATTGTTTTTTTCACGTAAGTCGTTACGATGTACGGAACGGGGCATGCTCGATGCTATTCATCACGTTACGTGCTCCGTAACATACTTAACGACCCTAGCAACCGCTTCCGTATCGTTGCTACGTATTTTTAACGTGAGCCGTTACGGATTACAGAACGGGGCATGCTTGATGTTGCTCACCACGTTACGTGCTCTATGAAATCCTTAATGACCCTAGCAATTGCTTCCGTATCGTTGTTATGTCAGAGACGTCGCCAAAATCGTAGAGACTTAGTAAACACTCGGTTTTAAAAACGATTTTCTCCTTCTTGATTGGAGGATCCAATGGAATTAGGTAAATATACAATTGAATATCGTGCCGCTTACATGTTCCGTGTTACGTGTTCCGTTGCATTCTAGAATGGCATTAAGGCCACCAATTGAAAATCTTAAGTAAATATTTTTCCTTAATGGCAATTGGTATTTCGTCAAATAATAAAATGTATATGTTCTTGTAGCTAAATCGCAGTCATACTCTAAGTTTCGGTCAATCGCACTTGGGATTTCCCATTAAAAAATATCGATACACAAAATATTTTCATGGACTTACATTAAGATGTATAGTAATAAACTAAGTGGTTATCGTGTAGACGGTTTGCCCGCAGTTATTTCGACCGACCGATGCAGAAGGCTGAATGGAGAGTAGAGGTGCGTGGGGAAGAACTTCTGCCTCCAATGGGTATGCATTCTCATCCAGGACATCCGGGCGGGCCAACTCCATTTCTTACACCTCAGCCCCTGCAAGGACCAAGCAAGACAGAGCCTAGACCCTTACCTCCAGCGTCCGGGCCTCCTGCTCCAACATTCAGGTACCACTGGTATATCTTCACTTTCCCATTATGTCTCCTAATGCAAAGTTAATACAGATTTGGGCACCATTATTTAGTGAGTCACAATAGTATAAACTATATATACCAACATTCTTGCAGATAGTCACTATACCATGCGATATAATAAATAATTCAAACATGAATTACTTCTCAAGTTTTACATAGAGAACAATTTTTTTTGTTAATGAGCAATTGTTTACCGACAACCTAAATGACGATGTATGTGTCGTCGTAGACACTGTAACGTACTTGGCTGTCCAGTGTAACCAACAAATCTCTTGGCCCTTCAATGTACTGAAATACTGAAAAAAAAACCTGCTGAATGCCAGGTACAGTTTTCTTCTATGATCGATGTTCTTCGCTGTATGTACTCACAGAATAACTATACCGAGTTTGTCGCGCCGTCTCGTTTATTATAATACAATAAACGAACGATTTTACAATACAAATCTCGACGCATATTTTATATTCTCTAAAGACGTTTCTTATGACCTGCTCCTAATTCGATTTTTTTAATATCATATCCCTTCGCAACACGATTTTGTCCCGATCGGTCTCGCCGGAGAGGAATCTCTCACGGGAGTCTCTAAAATCATCGGCGGGATCACATATCTCTCACTGGAGTATTTATGTTCGTGAGATTTCGCCCAAGTAAAACCTTCTTTCGCGTTCCTGACCGAAAATGTAACTATCCTAGAGTTCTTTTTAAAATAAAAAGTGCGGACGGCTTTGTCCCCCTTATATCCTCCAGTAATGCCATTTTCCTTATTGTCGAATATCTTATCGAAGGACGAGCCTCAAGATTGTATCCAGCGCGTGCGAAATAAGTTCATGATATCAAAATTTTTTACTGAATGTAATAACCTTTAATTTCACCGATAGAGCGGTATCAGTAGTATAGCAGTGCCGGTTCTGGCTCCAGATTTCTGTAACCGACATTTACTGACACTGTAGAACCTTCGAAGGTAGATGTCCGTGCTAACTTGCCGTCATGACCTCTATGATTTTCGGAAGTGATGTCACCAAGACCCCTATTTCCTAGGAATTTATGGGGAATTCTAGGAATTTTACGTTGGATTCCATGAATTTTATGTTTGATTCTAGGAATTGCACACGATCGAAAACCTTTTAGAACATTCTAGAAGCTTCTAGAACCTTATAAATGCTTCGACGGTTCGTGTCCGTGCTAGGTCGCGAAGGATTGCTCCCAGAGCAGATGGTCCTCTCGCGTGACGTTTTGCGGCAGCCCCTTGCCCCCCTCCCCCCACCCCGAAAAGCCTTCTAGAAGCTTCGATGAACCCCCTCCCAATTCCATGTAAGTTCGTGTAGGTTTCGGACGGCAGCCCTCAGCCGGTTAGACAACGAACGTTATCTGTCAGAAATAAGCGTCGTGGATGTATCCCTCCGGAATAAGTTTCCAAAACTTTCCTCCTTAACCTTGAACCTTATGGCGCAGATTAGTGGCTACCATCGGTAAATGAAAGTGAGAGTGAGAGAGTGAGAGAGTACGAGTCAGAGTAAGACGACGAGCGCCATCCCCTTTGCGCGCAGTATTGAAAAGTGGTTCCAGGAATGTTTGCGTCGAAGGTGATTCCAGAAAACGGTGCCCTCCCTATCGCGTCCCATGCAGATTCGTACAGGTTTCGGATGGCAGCCGACTTGACCTCGAACGTTATCTGGCAGTGGCCGCACGTCGAGACGGCAGCCTCCTCATCCTACGGAGAAGCTTCGTGAATCCCCCCAGCTTCGTGCAGTTTCGTGCAAGTCGCAGTGGATCTCGCGACCTTTTTGAAAGCGCAGCGGCGAGCTCAATCCTCCGAGGTGTCGAACTACTCGTAAGACATATATGTAAGCGCGCGACGCAACTTCGTAGGAGGAGGGTTAAGGTTCATCCGAATATTTTAGATCATAATTGCGCAGTTCCGCCGCTCCGTCTGGAACCTGCATCAAATGCGCAATTCTTGATTCTGTCGCAATAAACGGTAAGAATAATTCTCCATGCAGGTTCATGTAGTCGAATTCAAAATTGTATTGATTACAACAATGTATATTTAACCGAATCATCATTGATCAAATAAGGATGACTTGTTATCTGGTCGCTCGATTCCCTCTCTCAGATTCTTTTGTTTGACCTTGAGTCGAGGTTGTATTGCCAGAAGAATCTCCCGCAGCATTAACATGATCCTGTCTTGCAGAATTTTCATTCAACGATATGGTTCCGAATAAATTGTTGTTATCGGAAGTGATACGATCAAGAGACTCGGTCGAGTCTCGCGCCAAGTACAGGCAACCGGCTGTATAGGGTACAGCTCGCAGAGACTCTTTACTTGAGTTAACTCTTATACCTGTGATTGGAACGAAATATCTTATTAACCACTATACATGAGAAAAAGTTATTGATACATTCACTATAGGAATTGAGGATTCTGAATTGATTGCCACCATGTTCAATACGATTTGTGTACGAGATCAGGGCGTATTGAGATGGCAAGCGAGATGATTTTATTTCAGTTCCGTCGTCGTCGTCGTCATCGTCGTCGTCATCGTCGTCGTCATCGTCGTCGTCTTCGCACGTCCATCTACTTTTTTTACACGACAGATGGCGCTGACTGCTTTGCCTTCTTTACCTATTTGTACTCTGGATGGTGTTGGTAATTTACGAATACCTAATACAATCGAATACACTTTGTACGTAAAGCTACCGTTCACATCGAATTTCCAGGCTCTAATAAGGCTATAATAATATATTATAAGGCTGCTTTCACAATAGTATAGAATTATTAAAACTTTCATGTGGAGCGCGTGTGTATTCGTGTACGTATGTCTGTGCTTTGACATAGTTCCTCGTATTTTAGGTGACAATTTTTAGAGATATAGGATTTCCAGATGTTCCTCTCCGTAGCTTCTTGTATCTAGATACTGGATGTGGAAGTCCAGGGTGTCCAGGTGTTCCCCTCTGTAGTTTCCTGCATCTAGGTGTTGGGCGTGGAAATTCAGGGCGTTCAGGCATTTCGCTCCGTAGTTTCTTGTATCTTGTATCTAGGTGTTGGATGTGGAAGTCCAGGGTGTTCAGGTATTCCGCTCCGTAGTTTCCTGTATCTAGGTGTTGGGCGTGGAAGTTCAGGGTGTCCAGGTGTTCCGCTCCGTAGTTTCTTGTATCTAGGTATGGGATGTAGAAGTCCAGTGTGTCCAGGTGTTCTGCTCTGTAGTTTCTTGTATCTAGGTGTCGGACGTAGAAGTCTAAAGTGTCCAGAAAAGTGTGGAACGGGTGACGCTTTGGCGCTTAGCTCAAACTATAGTATCCTCTCTGTTGTTCGCACAGCCTGAGATACGTAAATAATCCAGCGCATTCTCCTCTCTTACGTTTACCACACGGCTTCAACAAGCTGGACACCATTAACGACGCTTATATGCACTGAATACTACATTTTCTTTAAAAATTTGTATATATCTTTATGCATTCCTAAAAAAAAGGGACTTACAAATTATATTTTTATGCCATTAAACATTTTCGACAACGCAATATATTTTTCTGATTGGCGACATGATAATGCATTTACATTTTATATCTGTGAAAATATAGATTTCAGTGCTTAGAGCTTCTATGTCCCGTTGAGCAACAAAAACTTGTGATATCCCCCAAAAACCACTTACGTGTAAAAAACTACGCCAAGTACAAGAGTGCTATGTATTCCTCTAATAAAAAGTATTGATATTCCATTATTGAGGCCAAGTACATAAGTCACTATGTGTTTGCCTATTATATGATCTAGCACTGACCCATCATTTTAATTGTATTTTCAAAATTTCTTAGAACGTTTTCACTACTCTTTTACATTACTACTGCTTCCCGTAGTTGATTATGATATAATAGTCATTTAATAATTAATAAAACTTTAGGTGATTCCTTATCGAGTACTACTTGGCGGGTCCGTGCCAGGAATTCCAAAGTACTTACTTTGAACGTACTAATAGTATCCTAAAACTATATGTTTGTTATTAAGCTTTTACCGTGATTATTATTTATGAGTTATCGTTAATAAGCTCTCGCGGAATCGTCTCCCTGATACATAGGTGCGTGAGTCACTATCGTACCGTTTACTATCGTACCATTTGTTATCGTACCGTTTGTTATATCGTATCGCATGTTGCGTTGTTCCAGCGGGAATATTATTGTATAATGTCGTTCGAGTAATATCCAAGTGTGTTCTATACCATCTCGATCTGTTTTCCGTACTTACCACTTGTATTCAACAGCCCCATTGTTCTTATTTTTTTTCTTTATTTAAAATAAATCGGATCCGTCTCTTGATTTTGATAGTTCGCCATTGTATAAATTAATTTCAGTAGTTTTTAGAGTGAACCTCCCTAGTTTTCAGATTTTTATTATGGCCTCCCAAAACCCAGGACCCCACCGCGTAAGAGCTGGCCAGCGTGTCCTTAGGAGATAGCGGTGTAACACTGGTTATACCTGGCGCCCAATAATTTAGTAGTTTATTAATTATTTCTCGCAGTGCCATTTATTTTTGCGTCATCGTAAAAAGTTTCGTCACAATATATATAATATGAATGTATAAATGTAAATAATATTTAAAAAAGTATAAATAACAAGACGTAATAAATATTTTAGTTCTGGTTTAAATACCTTAAAAATCCGACTTATCGATCTAACTATTGCGCGAATCATCGGTATTTAACCATTTCACAAATGGTTTGTTTCCAAGTTTCTTCAGTATCTTCTCCATAAGATATATGTCGTGGTACTTGACGCTGGTAAGTTCATGTTCATACAAGCCACCTTCGATGAGATGATCCTGGTAGTCTTTAAGTTTGTTCGTTACCGGATCATTATTCTTCACTCGACTTACCGTGAAAATTTCAGTTGTCCAATTGAGTATATAGCCTTTCTCAAAAATGTATTTAAATTTACTTATTCGTGCTTTGTCGCCGACTTTAAACTTTGATCGTTTAAGTGTGAACTTGACTTTGAGTTTCTTGTACACCCGTTGTAATAGTTCTTTCTCGTGTCGTCCAGTCACATCTGTCGGTTTCATACTAATGGTGCAAGGCTTACTGTTATTGTAAGAGTTGAATTGCATCCACATCTTACTTTTCAGAGTACGATTAAAACACTCGCAGATCGATGCCTTTAAGTTACTGAATTTCGAGTATAGGGTAATATCGTATTTTCGCATAAGATCCTTGAATTTGGAATTGTAAAAGTCTCGACCCTGGTCAACATGTAATGTCTTCGGAATTCGACCCTGCGTCAATACAGATCTGATAGCTGCTGTCACGTCTTTAGGGTTATTGCTCTTCGTCGACACGGCCTTTCGAAAATATATCGATGACAGTGAGCAGATACTTGTGTCTGTGTTTCTCTCTAGCGTATGCTAGCGTGTCAACGAGATCCGCCTGCCAAGTCTCGTCCGGTTCACGGATGTTAACATATCGGCGCTGGTAATTTCTCCTGGCAAGTTAATGCAGTTTCTTCACCACCACTAACTTTTTATTCATCCATTCTCTAGCACACTCAGTCTGGCGTCCAGCTGGGAAATGCTCAGAGAGTTGCGAATAGCCAATTCTTTTCCTGGGTGAATATCAACTTGCAGACGTTTCAACGCTTCCTTCGTGGGAATCAAGAGATTGAATCATCAAGTTGTTGTTATCGATATCATTGCGCATTCCAGCAGTCACTCGAAACACGGTATTGACCTCTTGCTTCACTACACTCTTCATTAGATTCAAGGTCACAGCATCGTTTTGCTCCTCGGGATTGGCGACGTTGCAGAGCCTCTTGTTATTAATGTCGTAGTGTCCAGCCACAGTGAATTGGAATCCAGCACCAGGGAGACCACGGCTACTCGTAACCGCGGCCCTGCTACTCAACTGGCGTCCAAGTACGTCGACGCTCATATTAATAAATGATACCCGCCTCGCGCAACTCTTGGATAATCGATACAATTTTGTTTGAGTGACTGGGATTACCTGCTTCTCGAGATGCAATCAGCAGGCGAAGGCGGTCTACCAGTTCGTTAGGATCGTCCCAGTACACGTAGTCCGTTCGTCTGTACTTGGCAGCGATCATGTCTCGCGGTACGATACCTTTACCCGTTACAGAGGGCTGATCAATCAGTTTTGGAATAACGTTTTTAAATTTGAAACTCTTGCTCTTACGAATGGCAGCATCAGGTTTATAGTATTTTCTATGTGCATTCGTCGTTATAATAATGCTCGGGAATTAATTAATATTATTGATGATTATTTTATTGAGGTAGCAGGGGTTAATAAATAAACAATTAAATAATTTTCAAGGTAAGTTACGTATATTTATATTAATTTAGCGCAATCAATACATTCAATTGTCGATACACAGTGTTCCTCGCAGACAGGCTTCTCGCAAACAAAACAACATTTTCGCGTTTTTGATGCCGTACTTAGCTGGCTTTGAAGGTATATATTGCGTAAACTTTATGTAGCCTCGGAAAGGATAAAGCTACTCATCAGTTGTCAAATTTGCTGTCGGCTTATACATATTACTCAAGTTTGAATTGAACATTGTCCAAATCTCACGTATAGGAGCAGCTTTATCCTTTTCTGCTTGTACATTACGTCTATTGGCGTCGTCGAATCGTATAAATCGTATGATGAAACGAAATCTGTTGAGACCCATTGCCGCGCGGTAAAGAGGGTATGAAGTACTTTTCCACATTTCACTTGTTTGATCAATATTTGAATTATTAATCCTAGAATAAATCAAAATCCCAATAAACGAATAAATTTCTTGTATAGTTACTGGCTTTCACAATCGCTGTGAATCTAGATTCTTTGCGTTATAATCATAATACGCTTTGTTAGCTTTACTGTTAGTATACCGAGCAATAAGATCTACCATTTCGACTGTAAAAATTCTTTTGAAAGTATGTCCTATTGATAAATTTTGTGTAGATCTATGTGGACCACTTCTTTGCCTTAAAACATTATGGGAAGGAGTTTAATGTATTTGAGGCGGCGTCTTACTCCAAACGGTTTTGTCTTTCGCTATGTACTCATTTGCCTTTTTTATAGCTGCTTCAGCTGCCGCTGGCCTGTCGTTTTCGCTCTCGTCGGATTCAGCATCGCTCTCCCCTTCTCCTTCTCTTGCGGACGTAGACGCCTGTAGTTCCCATATCTGATGCCGGCCCTTCAACTAAAGTCTCATCCGGCAGCCAGTCCTCGTCTTCACTGTTGTCTTCGAACTCTGGTTCTTTATCATAGTCTCCAAGTAGACATTTCAAATATTTATCTCTTTGAGCACGATTCAATCTGGATTCAATAAAAATGAGTTTTTCAATTGAAAAATATAATATAAGCAAGAAAAAGCAAAGAAAATTATATTATATTTACCTTGCAAATGTAGATGTCGATAGCTCTTCCTCGATAATGTAATTAATTCTACATTGATAAACAATTATACAACAGTCACAGAAATATTGATTGAGATTTGAGGTTGGTTCGAGAAATAATTTGTTAGACACTGGCTTTATATTAAATGAAGTAAACGTATATTAAATGTAATACGGATACATATGAGTGCTTCTTACACACGTCCGCAATGTGCGAGACAGGTAGACAGAGAGAAAACGCTGCGCCGTACTCGAGACTCGCGCAACTTACACACTCACTCAAGGGTGGGGATAGATACCTGTGTGTGTGTGTTCGGACAGCAGGCGCACAAACAGAATAGTGTAGGAAATTCATACATACCAACAATATTAAAAATCAAATGTTTTTCACACAGCGATAACTTATAAACAGAAAGATGACGACGCTTTATCAACGCGCTGCTATGCAGTCAACAGGTATTCCCAGTTTTCTCCGCAGTACACGTCTGTCCTCCACAATAGAACGATTCTGAATAAGGCACAGCAGTTCAAGGCCTTTGTTTTGATGCCAGAGCGAAAACCTACTATCTCCACTTCTTAAATTTTGAATATCTGCCGGTTGTCGAAGGTCAAAACTGACCGCGAGTTATCTGTGCAGCGCTCGGAGATCCTACTTCGATCTCTTTTCAGGAAGCTGTAGGGGGTTAGGGAACTTGGAAATGGCTTTTGTTGATGTTTATGTAATAAAGTAAATTGACTCCAAACGGTTCCGTTCATATGCGTACTTAGGAATTAAGAAAAACTAGTCGCGGGCACCCGGGTGCCTTGGGTGCGTAACAACGTGGTTAAGCCTAACAATAATACGTTGTGTAGCGAAATTAAGTGTAACCGTGATTTCGACTTTCCACCCAATGATGCCATAGGCCGCTTGTTGGGCTTCACTGAACGGGTTCTGAAAGCTAATAATTTACACACGTCCGACGTATCAGTAGCCATTCTCAAGGTGAACACCCTATGAATCGAATGCCACGTCACAACGGGCGCTTACATCAACGAACGTAAAGTGCATACCATACACAAATTTTTTCCAGTCGTGCCACCAGAATTTGTTTTCTGTATGACCTTGTGGTCATAGAGGTGCCATCGCACGTCATTTATCTACCGATCGTCACCAAGACGTTGGATCACCTACAACTTCGAATAATTTATCAATACGGGGTCCTGGTGAATTTTTAAGAAGAAGTTATGTTGACGATATATTATATCGTTATGACTCATAACGATCAGGCTGCACGTCAAATCCATGCGATAATAGGTATCATCTAGAATAGGCAAATTGGCAGTGGTTATAATAGTAAGCCGATGTGCCAAAGAGGGATTAGTCGTCGACAGCTTCTCAAGGCGCTAACATGTTAAAACGTCTTATTTCTGAAAAATCTAGGATTCAAGGTCACAAGAGGGAAGTAAAGCGTTTGTTCTGTTGCATTCTTTTCGTCTGCTGTGTACCATGGAGTAAGAAACGGTGGACATTCAGACACCAATCGTCTTTGATGAATCTATAACACACTGTGAAACGCATGCGCATCAATCTTACGCCTCGTCAACGTTCAACAATAGCGACGAGGTTCGAATCTCCGTTCAACATGAAGACCTATGCTTACTACCGAACAAAAGTTCGCTGGACGTTTATGGAAAGCTGGTCAAGAAAGGTGGGTCTACAGCGACTGCAAGCACGACTTTGGTCAACAATGCCATTTACCATCTCTTCGAGGAGATTCTCATTCTCTCATTCTCTCTCATTCTCTCTCATTCTCTCTCATTCTCTCTCATT